TCATGGCAGACTCGAAAACAAATTTTTTGCAGTTGACCATTCGGGCGAAAGAAAATGACCTCCGACGGCAAGATTTACGGCCAAAATCATGGGCAAGACAAATTTGTAACGACGAACAAACGATTCCTTGGGCGGCGGCGGCTGCTGCTGCTGCTGCTGGGTCCCCATCGCAGAGGACGAAGACGACGACATTGGCGAGGAGAACGCCTTCGCTTTTTGTTGCTCTCGAGCTTGCTTCAGTTGCTCTGTATTCAACAACACGAGAAAAACAATGATCAGACACTAAAACCCCCAAAATCAGCAACTTGAAGTCAAAATAAGATAATCGAAAATTGCTTTCACAAATTTGGAGGAAAAAAGAGACAAAGGTGGAGGAGAAAGACAGATTTGCTCGATGAGAAAGACAACGATGATGTGACCTTTTCGAGGCTTGTTGGCGTAGAGCTTTGGACCTTCTCCTTCTTCACTCATTTCGTTAATGTCTACAGCACCTTTCCACCATACACGACTGCTCTGAGCCTCCGAAGTCCCAACTAAGCGTGCTTCGGGTTCCGGAACTGAATTTTCCCTCTCTATCGTCTGTTTTTTTCAATGAATTCCTCTCCGCCCTAACAAATTGATTCTCGGAGTTGACGCCATTTGTTAATTTTTAATTTTCATCGAAATTATTTTTTACGAAACCTTTTTAGTAATTAGATGAAAAATTAGTCAATATGAAACCAATATCAACACAAATACCTCCGGTCTTAATTATAAGATCCAGTTGATTTATTTGAGGAGATTAAGGAAGTAAGTTAAGTTAGTTATTTGTAATAAATAAGTGTTGTCATTCCTAAAATATCCTTGTTAATTAAATATATTGGCTAGAACTATCATTATTAGAAGGATTATCTTAAAAAAAATGCATAAATATGAGAGACAAAATGGATTGGGGTTTTATAATTAGGACCAAATAAAAAGTCAAATAGAATCTTATAATTAGGACGGGAGGTAATATAAGTCAATTATAAACACGAACGCTCACCCGCGTTCCTATTACAGATAGAACTCGTTATAAATACTCTTTATAAATAACTCTTCAATCATTATTTATAAAATATAAAATAAATATATGAAAAAAAAAAATTTACCTCGTTATAAATACTTATTTAAACCAACCCAAATAATCACTTACTCTCCAACTTGCTAATAGCTGGCAGCTACAGAAACATATGCTACGCCCACAAACGTGTTCGTTAAGGGAGTATATATAGTTTTATCATATGATAAAGCTTTAATAATTTTGTTATCGACTATATTAAATTAAACGCAATTTTGACCTTCTGGTTTAAAAAAAAAACGCAATTTTAACCCAAGTTACACGGAAGCCGGAAATAATTTTTTTAAAAAAACCCAAGTTACACATATTACCTGCTTCAAACAAAATATAAAAGATGAGAAATATGTCACGCTAGTTCACTTCAAAGTTTTAGAAGGTTGGTACTCATGGACAAGATTAAAGGTCAGTTTTTTTGGTATCCTTTCATTTTCTGCTAGTCAGACCATCATATCAGAGTCCGAAGAAAGCAAACCATGAAGGGCTCAGGATTCTCAACGATTGTGGTATGAACTATAAACAGATGTTTGGCCGTACAGCGAAGCTTTCCTCCAAATGTTCTATGATTCTTAAAACAAAAACTTCAAAAAATTCTACCACTATTCTAATATTCTTACAAATTGGCATAGAAAAATAAAATACACATGTGCAAGACTCGGATTAAAAAAACAAAAGGAGGTAGAGTCAGTCATGATAACAAGGCATTCATTTGTTACTCCATCAGTCCACTTGCTATCCGCCTCCATCAATCATCTCAGTGGGCGACTGCCATAACTTCTGCCACGGAAACCTCCATAACCTGATTGATTGCGGTAGAGATGTAATGGAGGATATTAGAAACTCAGGTGAACAGAAATGACTAGCATATACTTGCACAACAGAAAGCAATCATGTTCTTAAATGGGTTTAGTTAAACTGAAATTCAGTAGAATTCCCTCCGGATGCTACCATTTTTGGTCAGTGATTGAGACCAAGGTAACATATCAATTTATGCATATGATTATTAAATCCACATATTTTTAAATGAAAAATTCATCAAAAAGAGGAGTTTGCCAGATCAAGTGATTCATGACATTGCCTCCATATATTCCAACGCCGTAATCTGTTCAACGGATTTGAACCTTTCTGTGCTATGAGAATTGCAGATCCTAGACTAGGTGATATGTAGATTTACGTTTAGACCTGGAACTGTACTACCAACGACATGGGCACGTATCTCTATACTCATTTCATCATCCATCTCGGTAATTATGGATGGAAAAAAATGAACTGGTAATATTGAACATTAAAAAGTTATGGGGGAAAGCTCTTTTGTCGGAAGTAGCCACAGTACACGCTACAAATGAGAAATGCATGCAGAACTGTACGCACAAGTCCCATATCTTCCAGCTATAACTTAGACCCATCCGAAGCCAAAGAATGGGGAACAGGAATCAATGCATGAATAGTTACAAGCAAAATGCAAGCTCAATCATAACCGATGCAGCAAACTAACCTGAAGGAGGAGGAGGTGCTCCACGTGCCATTGCTGCCAATTCAGGACTCACTTTCTGTCCAGCTTCCTCAAGTATGGCTATAAGTTCCTTTGCAAATCTAGCATTTGCAGCAGTAAAGAATGTATATGCAGTTCCCTTTGCGCCAGCTCTCCCAGTCCGACCAATGCGATGAACATAGTCCTCTAGAGATCCCGGGAAGTCATAATTTATTACATACATCACGTCCTTCACATCTGTTAAATGTCCACATGCAAACAATAATAAGGATCAGGATGCATAGTTATTGGTGTCAGATTAAAGTGACATTTCAAGTGGCAGTTGCATAAATAACAAGTTGCTTGCGTAAGCAGAAATATACAAGAGCTGAAAAGTAGTGACTATAAGGGTCATAATATGCCAATAAAAGGACACAAGACTGAATCCTTGAAAATGGTTAAGGGGAAGACAAGAAAAAACTAAAATAGCATTTATTTAAAATATAAAATCAGAAAAGCTAGAACAACATCAATTTATTAGATATCGATATTATTACTTCAGCAAAACTACAGATACATGACACAGCTGGAATCAAAGCACCACTTGAAGATTAAGAGAGTTAACAAAATGTTTGAGTAGAACGTCTTTGTACCTAAGCCACGAGCTGCAACATCTGTTGCAGTCATAATAGGACTCTTTCCAGATCTGAACTCTGACAGCACCCAATCTCTTTCTGCCTGACTTTTATCTCCATGTATTGAAAGTGCTGGCCAACCATCCATGCGGAGCTGCCGAGTGATCTGATCACATCCTTTCTTAGTATCCATGAATATCAGTATTCGGCTGCCATCCATGATGTCCTCCAGCAACTTCACCAATCTAGGAAATAAAGAAGTTAACTTCATCACATGGTTCCTTTATATAAGAGGAGATAAAAGAAATAACTATAAGATAGAACATAACCTACTTGTCGTATTTCTGCTTTTCAGAAACAATGTCAACATATTGACGTATTGCATGGTTGGCTTTTAAATCTGGAGAACCTATAATCACCTGCGTAATGGTAATTAAGTCATTAATTTAATTTTCAATATATTTGTTCCTTTTACATAACACAATATCATTTAACAACAAAATTGAATGACTTCTTAGTACAGTAAAATCAAAACATAAGGAGTTCAATATATGGAAAACAGAGACCAAAAAACTGATGAAATCTACAAATGTAAGAATATCTTACTTTATATGGGTTATAAAGGGACTGCCTCGCCAGCTGCTCAACCTCCTTTGGCCAGGTAGCACTCCAGCATAACGTTTGACGGTCTGGACGAATCTGCATAAATCAAAAACACAATCAGATACTCAGGAGACAAACAGATTCCAACCAGAAGAATCAGCAATCAAGCTCATTGATTAACATGGACTATTAGGGGGACCAGGGACATTATATCTGATGATGGACAACTTGTTCTGAATGCTTTCCACTTGTTCTTCTTTAACGACCAAAAAGTACTTACGACAAGCAGGGTACTCTCCCCGCCTCTCCATCTCTCATGAAGTCTAAAGCATCTCCAAAATGAAACTTATCACAGAACAGTAACATGGGAAGAACCAAAAATAGTATGGTGTGCGGATCAAGTATAAAGAAGAGCAACTTGACTACAACAAACAATTCTACAGCAGCATACAAAATACACAGGTCTTGCATTCCTTGAAATTTTAGTTTTCCAAAGTATTAATAGCATATCAGTGCAAACTCAACCTGGGCAACAATCTTCCGTAGCTGAGGCTCAAAGCCCATGTCCAACATCCTATCAGCCTCATCCAATACAAGGTATGTAACTCTTCGTAAGTTTGTATGATTTGACTCAATCATGTCAATCAGCCTTCCCGGAGTAGCAATTACAATTTCAACACCTGATCCAAAAAATGGATAAATACATGCACAATTATGACAATAAAGCATATGACTTCATTATAGCCAGAGAAATCATAAACCCGTGTCTTGGGTCAGCAATACTTACTTCACCACCTACCTTTCTGGAGATCCCGCACCTGAGGTCCCTTAGGTACCCCACCATATATGCAGGTACTCTTAATTCTAGATGATGCACCAAACTTAGTAGCCTCTTGCTGTATTTGGACAGCAAGTTCTCGAGTTGGAGCCAAAACTAACACAATTGGACCGTCTCCAGGTTCTGAACGAGGAGTTATTGAAATATTAGATGATAACACCAAGGTTGATGACAGAGGCATGTTAAGGAATGTTTACACCCTAAAAAGGAAACAGATCATTCCAATTATTTCAATCACCTACCTAGAATAGGCTGGGCATTAATATGTACGATTGCAGGCAATAAATAAGCAAGCGTCTTCCCTGATCCAGTTTCTGCTATTCCTATGAGATCACGCCCCTTCAAAGCCATTGGCCATCCTTGAGATTGAATAGGTGTAGGTTCAACAAAACCAGCTTTTGTAATTTCTTGCAGAACATACTCTGGATTAAACAAGTTGGCAAAATAAGCATGCTGTTATCATCCCATAATGAAACGGAACTTTTTTCCACGGTAAACTATAAGTTAACCAACTTTCCAACAGTCTAGTTCTGTCAGTTATCAAACATAAATTCCATTGCAAAAAATTAACACATCGGATGATGTTGTCAATAATCTACCATCAAAAACAAAGCATGGCTTAAACTACTTAAGGGAAATAAATTGAGAGGGAGGGAGGCAAACCAAGGTATATAATAAATTTTAGGGGATAAAAAGACAGAGAAAATTGAGATATAAAGGTAAAGTGGCACAACTCATAAAGTCTTCCATTCATCCAGCTAAAGAAGAATTGACAAAACTTCGAGTAATAGGGAGAATAAAGTCCTCCACACAACGCTAAATAAGGCAGAACGTTAATGGGGGGAAAAGGAAGGGGGAAAAAAACTTGGTACCCGGGAAACCAGCAAGGTGAAAGCTTTTGACTGGTCTGGGGACATCTCGACCTTCAACAGTTATGTCCCTCTTCTGCCGATAATCATTAACTTCAGCCTCAGTCATAGCCCTCACCTCTGGTGACTCAATGTAGAAATTCTTCTCAAAATGAGGCAGGCCATCCAAATTCAATTTCCTTGGGGATCCACCATCATTGTAATCCCTCCTGCTTGAGGAAGAGTGGACAGAACCACCGTAACCTGTGGGAGCACCCAGCCCCGAATCACTAAGAAAACAAATGGAGCTCCTTAGCAAAACTCTTGGCTCAAACGTAAGGAAATTAAGATTAGCCCACCTAATTAAGTTGAGCCTCACACACATATGACAGTTCTAAACATACATGTAACTAAGATTAACCCATTAAATGATTCATTTCAGATGCCAGTGAGGGTAACATGAACTCTCGAGGGAGTTCTTAATGTTTCACAGGGTACAAACCCTAAAAAGGTAGCTCAACTCAAAAGAGGATCATTCTGAAAATAAAACGGAATCAATTTTCCTTTCGGAAATTATTTGTCAGATATACTAATATACGTAAGAATATTGCTATATGGGCATGTAGAACGAAACAAAATTTAGCCGGAATAGGGAAAATAGCAGGCAGAAATTAAATATTTTCATTGAAACACGAAATCAGTATGCCTGCTTCCGAGATTAATTATATTACCGGACAAGAGGGGGACCAAAACAGGACATGGAAACTACAAATTAAAGAATTAAGCGCGGGGGTAAGCCACTGTTTTACCTTCTCCGGTCACGGTAAGAAGTAGGGTCCCCAGAGCGACTGTCGTAGCGACTCATGTTTCGTTGATAACGAATGCGATTCGCGGCTACTCTGTGCAGAAGAAGTTGCAGGTGCCGGAGCACTGGGAAGGAAGGGCGAACAAAGCGAAACCCCTGCCCCGCTACAGCCTCTCTCTCGCTCCCCTCCCCCTCTCTCTAGCCGGGGGGAAGCTAAACCTACCTTGTCTAACCGAGAAGACGAGTGCACGCTCCAGTGAATGGAAGACACGTATACAAAAATGAGCCTTTCTCGAACATTTGCTGCGTCCAAGTGTTCTCATAGCAAATTCATGTCGTACCTTATATATATAAAGTAATTAATTGAATCTTATAAAATGAATTAATTTGATCTTAATTACTTCCATCCTAATTATAAGAACTAGTTGGTTCTAATTATAAAATTTAGTTGACTAATCTAAAAAAATTAAGGAAAGAAGTTAAGTTAGTTATTTGTACTAAATAGGTATTGTCTTTCTTAAAATATCCTTGCTAATTAAGTACTCCTCCTGTCCTAATTATAAGACCCAATTGACTTATTTGAGGAGATTAAGGAAGTAAGTTAAGTTGGTTATTTATAATAAATAAGTGTTGTTATTCCTAAAATATCCTTACTAATTAAGTATATTGGCTAAAACTATCATTATTAGAAGGATTATCTTGGAAAAAAATGCATAAATATAAGAGAGAAAATGGATTGGGTCTTATAATTAGGACCAAATAAAAAGTCAAATTGGGTCTTATAATAAGGACCAGAGGAGTATATTGGTTAGAATTATCATTATTAGAAGGACTACCTTGAAAAAAAATATAAACATGATAAAATAGATTAAGATCTTATATTTATGATTAAAATAAAAATCAAACAAAATCTTATATTAAGAAACGGTTGTAGTAGTTAACTAGTGTTAATGGGCAATGTTTTAAAAGTCTCAGATAGGAAAAAGAACGTGTGTATCATTTTTTCAGAGTGATGCCATGAAATGAAAGCTAACTTGGTTAATCACAACTCATGCCCTCATCATGAGACATGCAAGCTTGGAACCTTTTGGTGATGGATTCTCCCTCCTAGTTCCCTTGATAATCCACAGAACTCAAGCAGCATATTCTTGAGTCTCTTCATTGCGGACACTTCTCTCAACTCCTTCAAGAATCAAGTTGTTACTATTGGTCAGATTTGTTGTCACCTTCTAATCTTCATTCGTCTTTTCGTCTCTTCATCCCTTTCATTCAAGTTTTGCTGGTTTCAAATTCTATCATTTTCTTTTATTTTATGTGAAATCCACATAAAGTTGAGTTGAAAGGTATATTATTCTTCCGGTCCTTAATATAGAACCTAATTGTTAAGTTAATTTTAATCATAAATATAAGTCCTATTTTTCATATTTATTAATTTTTTCTAAATTACCTCTATGGATACTCCTTCAACCATAATCAAATGAGTGAGAGAGGGAGGATATTAAGAAAGATGATTATAATGTTTAAAAAAAAACATGTCATATTTTTTATAATTAATTAACTTACTTAACTTCCTTAATCTAATCAAATTAGTTAAATAGATCTTATATTAAGGATTGGAGGAGTAACAAATTTCAACAACATTGTTAACATTTTTCACAATATATGATAGCTCAATGCTGACTAGAAGTGATGAATGATAAAGACAAAGCCCAAACTATAGAAAGATTATAAACTGAATTTTAGATGAGTCAAGAATTGAGGAATTGAATTTGTACAAAATTAAAATTTAAGAATTAAGTTTTAAATGAACCAAAATTTAAAGGATTAAAACATTAATTTTTGCCTAAAATATGTCAACTTGGATTAACGTAACTAGCGGGTATTTTTATCCAGGAACAAGTGACTGTGGGGTTGATTTCTAACTCTTAGACCAAGTACTTTCCGAGTGTATATATGTACACTATAAAATTGTCAGTGAGTTACCACCTCCGCTCATTAATATAAGAGTTAACTAATTTGAGGAGATTAAAAAAATTAGTTAAGTTGGTTATTTGTAATAAATAGATATTGTTTTTCTAAAATATCTTTATTAATAAAGTGTATTAGCTAGAACTATCATTATTACAAGGACTATCTTAGAAAAAAATGAATAAATATAAGAAACAAAATGTATTTAAGTCTTATATTTAGGACTAAAATAAAAGTCAAACAATATCTTATATTAAGGAATATAATACGGGTATTTATTAATTATAAATAGTAGAACTTCTTTTTTTAAACTCTATAGAATACTTCACAAGGGAAATTTTATATTGCGTGTTTGGTATGCTAAAACCTTGTGCTCCACCTAATAACCATAATTATGGGAATAGGTTCCTTTTTAGGAATGACATTTCTCAATACCATATACAATCTTAGTGTTAAATTTCATTTTTTTTTTTTACAAAAAAGGTTCAGTGAGTTGAATCTCGGGGACTCATTAAAACCAGGATATGCTCTTAGTATCAAAGAGTACTTACAGAGATATTTATAAATCATTCATCAATAAAATCCTAACATCAGCTTAAAATTAAATTGGTTTAAGGGGTAAAAAACTCGTGGGCCGTCCTCGGTGGATACTACTCCTCCGGTCCTTAATATAGGACCCAATTGGTGAGTTAGTTTTGGTCCTAAATATAAGATCCATTTCTCATATTTATCAATTTTCTCTAAATTACCCCTATAGATACTCTCTCAATCACAATCAAGTGTAGAAGAGGGAGAGGGGTATTAAGAAAGATGATTATAGTGTTTTAGGAAAAACGTGTCGTATTTTTTATAATTAACTAACTTACCCAACTTCTTTAATCTAATCAAATTAGTTAAATGGGTCTTATATTAAGGACCGGATGAGTATTTCAACTTAAATCAGTCCGGTGTTTATCTTTGATATTGGGCTCAAACTTTTGATCCGAAGTCATAGGGCCCATGATGATAAGAAATGAACAAGTCAATTTTTTGACGCTTTTAGGAAAATCAAAACAAAAACTTTATCGTCACTCCTGTCTGCAGAATTATCCTTCTTCGCGCTCGTGGAAACTTGGAGCTCCCTGTAAATGGCGTCCCATTCTACTACCTCACACCTACAGAAGTCCTATCTCTTCAATGCTACCCATAAAATGCAGACACTCTCTGTATCTTCTGTGAGCACGAAAGCTTCATGGGACACAGAACAGAGGCTTCCTTATAATCCCAATGCTCCCAGAAAGCTCAAGAAGAACACTAACGCTCTCAGCCAGACGCCAATTTTAAAAACATCTCCTTCTTCCAGTTCATCTTCTCCAACAGCATGGACGGAGAAGTACGTTTCTGACCTTCTGAAGCGCAACAGTCCTGATACCAGTGGAGGTATTTCGTGAAAGTGATTTGTTGTTGATTTGGTTATCTTGGTTAATTCCGTACTATTTATTCTTTGTCCTCTATCCGAAGATTGAAGAACCGGCGAGATATCAGAAGGGAATTTAAATTTATGTGATTTATTTCTCCTATGTAATGTAAAATGACAAAATAAGGACAAGACGAATGAGGCCTATACTCAGTTGTTATTATAGAATTTCGACTTATAGGCTAACTATTTTAATTGGCTATGGAATTGATGTTTGTTTTATCTTGGCTTGGAATTTTTTCTGCAAAAATGGAAGTGCCTCACTTACAAAGTTATGTTGTTAAATTGCTTGAATGATGTAAATTGTGCCGGATTAGAACATGCATGCCTTTTTTACTGCAGGTTCTTTTAAAGTCCCGCGTGCTTAAAGATTAAGACTTTATTTTAAGAATCAGTACATTCTTCTATCATAATAGGTTTTTATCTTTAATACTTTTTATCTACTATTTAGCTATAATTTTTCATCATTGCTGTTTCATTTTGTATCTTTTTGTGATTTTTCATCTAAAAGACGCTGAAGCATTCAGTGAGTGCTTGCTTGATAATTATTATTATTATTTTTTTAACAGGGAATACAGCAGAGCCAGACGAAACCTACTTGGGATATGAGAGATGGTTGCCGAGTCCTCCTAAAGTGGTGAAGCCAAGATCTGTATTCAATGCAGCATCTCTAGCATATATTGGCGATTGCATATATGAGGTTTGTTCTGATTTCTGCTTTAGTGGCGCTAAATACTATCCATGAATAAACATATTAGCAGTGTGTTTGTCTCTAATTTGGAGATGTGTGTGCACACAAAAAAGAATGAAAGTAAATAAACATAAGCACACATGATTGAGTGAGCTGTGTAATGATGCCGAATTTATGAGGCAATGAGTAGTTTCAGCAGCTCCTTGGTGTACTTGGTTGGAGCGGGATGCTTGCATATTCAAGGGCATCTCTTTGCCCCTACCCTGTATTCTCGTTATGGGATGAGAATATGCTTATGGCTTTTGACAAGTGCTCTAATCATTATTGTTTTATGGGCATTTTTATTTCCAACATGAGCAGAGGTTAGAATAGTTTCAAATTTTAGCCTTTGGTCCAGCTTTCTCAGTTTTGACTGTTTTAGAGGATTTCCTGTGATTCTTTCAGTTTTACTTCCTTTTCTTTCTGCCTTTGAGGTTCCCTATTCTCTCTCACATGATATAAATGAAGTAATCCTTTAACGGAGAGTGCAGTGTGATAATCTGCTGATACGCAAGTACTTTGTAAAGAGTAAATGTGTTAATTACTGAGGCATTGTAATCCCCTATAAAGATCTTTAGGAGCAATATTACATGAATTCTATGAGTGTTTAAGTGAAGATAACACGGCATGCTTCCCCTTGGAATGCACAAGAGCTTTTAAAGGCGCATAGGTCCATTCTTCTCCTCACACCTACAATGGCTTCTTGATGACTGTTTCAATTGAACAAGCTTGTTTAGTTTATGTTGGAATTGCTACAATTCAAACAACTGTCATGAACTTTATAATCCTAAATAAATATCTAATCCTCATTGTTTGTGCAACATGTAGCTTTATGCTCGCAGGCACTTTTTATTTCCTCCCCTAAGCATTGAAGAATACAACGATCGTGTGATGGCACTTGTGCGTTGTGAGGCTCAAGTATGATACCTGTCAAAATACAGAGTTTAATTTTCTTTTCTACTCATTTTATTGATTGAGAATATTTGAACGTGGAAATGAGACAACAGAGCGCTGATTGATTGAAGCAAAACTTTATGAAATTTGGCTTTAGTGGGCTGATGATGTTCTACTGGTTTCTTGTGATTGATCACTACTGGTTATTAAGAACACGCATTTCTGATATGACATATGACAAGTAGTTCCCATTTGCTGCAATTCAGGATGCATTGCTCCAGAAACTTCTCCACAGCAACTTCTTATCAGAACAAGAGAGGTTAGATGTTATTCTGAGCATTTTATCTCTCTCTCTCACCATTTTTCTGCTTTTATAAATTCTACTTACGATGTTTCCTCTTGTGATTCTTGAAATACAATATGCCTTTAGGTCTCTACGATATTTATCACTTGGTTATGTATTTTAAAAAGGTTTCCTTCTCTATAAATTTGGTATTACATTCTGCACTTTTATTCTGTCTTGTTCCTCAATTTTAAGCTTCCATTCATTGTCCTACCTTTCTTTTTTCTTGTTTTGGTCAACATTATTCTACCTTTCAACCATGTGCGTTATGTTTGCGTAAGGTCCTCTGATTCTCTTGGTAGAACTTAATTTGCAGAAGTTTGTATATTTGGCTTAAAGCTTTTAGCCATCTCTATTGCAGGGATGTGCTTCGATGGGGAAAGAACATTAATTCAAGCAAAACACGGACGAAAAAGCGTGCTGGTGCGGCTGTGTATAACAGAGCATCTTCACTGGAAACATTGGTTAGTCTTCAAATTTTGACTTCTTGAGAATACATCTGTTCTACTTTGTATAGTTCTTCCTTCTAGTTTGTTAACCAAAATAACATTGGCTATAGCACATGATATTCATATTAGCCCGTTGGTTTGTGTTAAATGTAAAACCTAATTAATAGTTCATAGGCATACACATCCCACTCCATTTTTCTCTTTTGAAAGCTTACAGGATAATGTAGTTGTGCTTTATTGTTGCAAGGAGCATGTTTAAGGGCTATTTGTCGCATATGTTTTGAAGTTTCAGTTGGTTTTTGTGTTTATAATGTCTATCTTCAAATATTGTTCATTTGTGATTGAGTCAGATAACTGTTAGGAAGATCTGAAAAAAAAGTGCTGTATTCAAAATTTTAAACCTGTTTTTAGCCTTATCTTAACTCATAAATTCATTGAACTAGGTTGGTTATCTTTATTTGACTAATGTGAATCGCTTGGAGAAGCTAATGGCGGAGTTGGGATTTTCAGTTGACTCTTCAGCAAGTTTTAATGTCGAAGAAGCAATAGTAAGTTTAATTATTATCTCACTTGCTTATCTTTGCTCTTTTTGGGGTGAAGTTTTTGTTTTCCCAAACGAATTCAAATCCAGGATGGACCGCATTCCAACTCTTACCCACTATAATTATTTGTGTCGTCTCCCCACTCTCAGCGCTCATTTTGATGTTACATGGTTTGTTCACTCAATGATTGTCGTTTTCCCCTTCCAATTTTAGTCAGGACGGCTGAATAACGGATAAAGACAGTCTTCAACCAATCTTCCAGGAGAGCAGAAATATACGAAAGGAATGTAGTAAATCAGCCTGCACATGATCTCAGTTTTGATCAATTGAATTCCCCATTCACTCATGTAGAATGATAGATTTTGTATTGCTCTCCAACGGTATGATTTGCCCTCCTAAAGATCTGAAGCCAGCTAACTTCTTTCTTATGTGAAATTGCTGTACAAATACTGTGACCTTACGGTTTCTCAGTGTTGGAGAGGCATATAAAATATTTATCATTCATTTTATCTTAAATTTTCTCTAGATGTTTCAAACTAGTCAAGCCGGAGCCTCTCAAAGCTCTAATGCATTTTAGCAAACTAGCACAAGTTGGAGATCTGCAACATTTTTTCATTTCAGTATGCTTAAAAGCATCAAGTTTCTTGCAGGGACGAACAAAACGATTACTAATGATTTTTGCATTTGAATTCTTTGTTTTAGATTTTGCTTCCACAAGGGCCTTTGGAGAAAATGTGTGATACATCACATATACTCTTTTGATTCTATTTATAAAGCACTTTCAATATGTTTTATATAAACAAAAAAAAACTTTAAAGTGGGTTAACTTCCCGTTAAAATATAACAATTTTTCAACTTTATTCCTGTTTAATATACACTTTTAAAAAAACTATATATACTGTAATAAGTAGAGGATAATATCCAAATTTAATGAAAATGATTATATTAAAGAAATAAAATTTAATGTATGTTTTGCCCGCATTTAATTGCAAACTCAACATTTGTTAAATGAGACTAGTGGTATGAAAATTAAAGAACTAAAATATTTTTTTTAAAAATTAAATATTATACTAAAATTTGATATAAATTAGATGATCAAATATATACTTAAGAGGTGGGTGCGTGTGCGTGTGTGTGTGGTGTGTGTTTAGGGTTTGTCAGAGCCTTTATCTCAAGCAATGCACAGGGCCTTACAGCCCCAGTGACAAATACGTGTGTGCGTGTATTTCATATTTGGAACATTGGCCGTCGACAGTCCCTAACCTCGCGAACCTCTGCTTCTCTCCCTCGTATTCCCTCAGTCCAACGCCCTGAACAGAAGGCATGCACTTATTCTATAATTGTTGGAAGTAGAGAAAAAAGTGTCTAAAACAGTAGGACAAGTAAAAATGCCATATGGAATGCGGTGATCCATGCCAAGAAGTTAAGTAACATGGCTGGCCCCTTTCTTTGCCACCTAAAAATCCAGGAGCTCACATTCTGTTTGTTGGAGGCATTGTTGTCAGTTGTGTTTCGTTTTTGCAGTTAATTGAGCACATGGTGCCAAGTGGTGGTGTTGTGTCTAGTTAGTTTCACGACAGTTGAGTAAAACAGCCCACGTTTAGAACATGGTGCTGCTCCCATCTCAATCCAAGCAACTAATCAAAACAGAATGACAGGAAAAAAGATCTCAACAACTATGGCCTTTGAGCCTTGGAGCTTGGACAAGGGCCCTTTTAGGGACCATATGTGGCACGCTATTGGTCGACACTATTTTTTTTGACTTTTGAGCATCGTCAATGCAGTTAAAAAAAAAAAAAAAGCCAGTTAAATGAAGGAGAGGAGACTAGTTAACTTTTATGAACTTTTATATTGCAATTTGTTAACATTAGATGGGCATCTCCACTACTTATGATTGGTGCTATTCCTTCCTTCTCTGCATCTCATTTGGGAACTTGTTCACTTTGAGCTTCGAAAACACTCGTGTGTTTAAACAATCATCAGATACTATGTGAATAGTACTCCGGTCTTAAATATAAGAGTATAAGAGTCTTATATTTAGGACCAGAGGAGTAATTATTACTTTCGGTCCTTAATATAAAAACTAGTTAACTAATTTGAGTAGATTAAAAAAAGTAGTTAAATTAATTATTTGTAATAAATAATTACCTTCGGTGCTAAATATAAAAGCTAGTTGACTAATTTGAGAAGATTAAGAAAATAACTTAAGTTAGTTATTTGTAATAAATAAGTATTTTTTTTCTAAAATATCCTTACTAACTAAGTTATTGACTTAAAAACTATCATTATTAGAAGGACTATTTTGAAAAATAAATAAATATGAGAGACAAAAAGGATTGGGATATTATATTTATGATCAAAATAAAAGTTAAATGGGATCTTATATTAAGTACCAGAGGTAGTGTAGTGCGTGTTATTTTCATTAAAATATCCTTACAATCTATACATTAACTAGAATTACTATTACTACAAAGATTATCTTTAAAAAATAAAATTATATGAGAAACAAAATAGATTGTAGTATTATATTTGAGAATAAAATAAAAATCAAGCCGATTTTTATATTAAAATACGGAGGTAGTAATACATAACGATCAGGGTCATTAGTTTTCTTAGCGTATGTTTTGCTATGGGAAGAAAAGACAACCAACGCTAGTAATTCCAAAGCAGCAACCCATGTTTTAAAGTTGTTATTGGTAGATTAGCCCGGTTGCTAGCAAAGTTGAATACCGCCTGCCGTCAAGTGGGGGCTGGGCCACGTGCAGAGCACGTGCAGTCAAATAATGCGTGCACCGGCAAATGGTGCAGAAACATACAAGCATTAGCATTAAAAAGTACGAAGGCTTTGGATGTAGTGTTGTTCTTATAATATCATATGAGCGATGCAAGGAGGAGGAGAAAAATTCTAAGGCGCCCAGCAAAGAGGCCCCACGCTTGTTTAGAAGCTAAGTGAATCACAGCTAATGAACAAGCATGCAGTCCAGCATTGTAATTATTATGGGACAGTTAAAGCAGCGGTTACTATTGCACATCCCATATGATATACTCAGCTAATATATATCGAATAGAAATAAAGTTGTTGAATTTTAAAAATCAAGCTAATGAATTTTAAAATTTTCGTGTGATGTGAAGCTTTAAAAATAAGAGTAAGAATTGATATTGGGATTGAAAAAATATGTTAAAAGAGTGTTTAGGATGAGTGGTTACTTATTAGATGGAATCAGACAAATCTATATATGTGAAATTAGGAAATATCATGAAGGAATGTGGTATTTCCCAATCCTACTTACATGAGAATACCTAATCTTATGTAACAAGAAATTACTCATAACATATTAAATGTTATTTAATAGTTTTTCAATCTTAATTACAATTCTTACATTTTATTTTTAATATTTCGTACTAGACGTAACTTTTTTTTTTGGATTATGTGAATCATGTTAGGAGTGATTCATATATAATGCTAGAGAAGTACAAGTTACTTCCGATATATTTTATTAAAATAAAAAAAACCTTAAATTTTATTAATTCTTTATTAAAATTTAATAATTTTTTAATTTTATTTCTACTTAATATACGTTACTTTTCAAAAAAATGATTCATGTTAAAAATGTAATGAAATAACTTATAAATGTAATTTTTAAAAATTTTCTTTCTCAAGCTTATGAAAAAGATGAAAGGAGTAATTTTCACAAATTCAATTTTGTTGTCTGTTTTAGGTTACTCAAAACTAACTTTTTGTAAAATAGAATATTAACTCAAAATCGGGTTTAAGAACGGGGAACCAAAACATACTTTGAGATTAAAAAAAAGGATTCAAAAGGTTTTCTCTTCTTCTTTAAAATAAAAAAAACGAGTGATTAGCTGGTTTGATGATAATGGGATGAAAAGCGGGAAGAAATCTGGGACGAGGGAATATAGGTCCACCATGATGAAAATAAGAAGAATAATAATAGTAGATTAGTGGTAGAGTAGACAGAGCATCCGATGCTTTTTCTCTGTACTTCATTGACTTCCCTTCCTTATTTTCATGTGCATTGCTCCTACTAATGCAACATTGCACATAATCTTTGGTAATTATTACTTTATTATAAGACTCTTTTTGACTTTTTGTTTGATCCTAATTATAAGACCCCAATTCATTTTGTCTCTCATATTTATACATTTTTTTCCAAAATAATCCTTTTAATAATGATAGTTCTAGCCAATACACTTAATTAGCAAGGATATTTTAGGAATGACAACACTTATTTATTACAAATAACTAACTTAACTTACTTCCTTAATCTCCTCAAATAAGTAAACTAGGTTTTATAATTAGGACCGGAGGTAGTATTTTGCATTGACATTATCTTTTTAGAAGAACAACTGATTTAGATTCAAATCATGCTCTAAATATCTCAATGTGTTAGAATAATGATGAAGGAAAATTGGTCATAAATCTTGATTAGAAAATTAATTATACAAATGTAAGTTAAGGACTCGTGCACAATTTATTTTTCCACAATGTAATTCTTGTCTAGCTGTATATAACTTATCTTCAACTATATCCAAAATAAAAGACATATATAGTGAAAGATATGTTGCAGTCCTTTAAGCATTTTAGTCCTTGAGTATCCTTGCATAATTAATTTTTAAATTAGTGACTTTTGATCTATTTTTTCTATAATAACTAAACACATAAGACAAATACTAAATATATGTGTTTCGTTGACTTAAAATAGATAGATATTCTTTGGTGGAAAAATAAAAAGATAGAAAAAACTTGCTAAAATGTGGTTTCTATTAATTAAGTAATTACCAAAAATGGTGAATAATTTATTGCAGCCATTTGTCCCGAGATAAATTCTACTACATATTTACTTCGTATATCGTAAAATTATTTCTAAAATCACAGTTTGATTTCTATCCAATCACCTTTTAAATATTAATTGAATGTGAAATTGCTACGCTGATCACATGCTCACATGCAGCTACATAGTTATAGATTATAGATGCGACGTGGGACTATGTATAGTTGTGAAAGGGGGTCTCTCTAGTTCGCACGAGTTTATTTATAGGTCAAATAGGTTGATTCGTTTATCTAAATCTAGATAGATTAAATTTTAAGAGGAGAAATCAGAAATAAATCCCCTCATTTAAAAATTAATTGAAAAATAGTTGTTAAGATAATAAATTGTATACAGAAAAAGTTAAGTTGTACCAAAAAAAATAGTTTATATAAAATATTATTTGGACATATTTGTACATATGGCCTGAG